CAGTGGGCAGCAGGTCTGCAGGGAGCAGAGGGGACATCCTGAGAAGGCTGAGGGGGAACCAGGAAGCGGGGGCTCAGGGATTGAGTTTGGGATCCCTGGGTTCAAAAGGTCGCACATTTGGAGATTCAAAGGCCCTTGAATTTGGGGTTCCCCAAGTTTGAGAGTGAGTTTAAACTCCCTGGCTTTAGGAAGTCTTGGAGTTTGAGGGGTCCTTTACTTTGCAATTTGCTTTGCAATCGTTAGAGTTTCTCTTTTTGGGGTCCCTAGGTGTGAGGAGTCTCTCGGTTTAGGATTCAGAATGTGAAGGCATTTGTGGTTGGGGGGGTCTTGGGAATCAATGAGCCACAGTTTTGAGACTCCCAAGGTTTGGAAGTCTCTGCATTTGAGGGTCTGAGGTTTCGCAACCATCGGCTGGGGGATCCCTGAGTTTGTGGGGTTTAGACTCTCCAGATTTGGGGTCTTAGGGCTGGGGTCTCACCTCTACGACCCAGGCTGGCCCGGGCACCTCCCTCGCCCAGCCGGTTCCGGGCACTGCAGTTAAAGTTCCTGCTAAAGTCAGATTCCTGAGTCCCCGAAATGTGTAGCACAGAGATCAGGCCCGGACCCTGTCCCCCGCGGCCCTCCGGGGCAGGGAATGTCTCCACCAGGAACCGGCCCCGCGACCCCGCCTCCAGAAAGCCCTCATCCCAAGACCAGACCTGGGGGCATAAAAGAGGGAGGACACCGAGGAGACTGAGGAGGGGAGGAAGAAGCAGGAGGGATGTCTGGGAAGTCAGAGATGGTCACAGTAGTTTCAGGGGGCCAGGTGGGAGGTCAGGGATCACAGCTGGATGGGTCACGGGAGGAGTGACATTTCCTTACCACGGCATCTGGGGCGGGAGAGGCGAAAACTAGACACTGGAGGCGAGCAGGGCCCCTCAGGAAGGCAGGCTCAGAGTGCAGGGCGGTCACTACTGGGGGAGCTGGGATGGAGACGGTGGGTCACTCAGAGGAGAGGCCTTGCCCTCCCCAAAGGCTGTAACAAAGCCGGGTCTGGCCAGCGCACTCTCCGCTAACCTTAATCAATCAGGCCATGCTGCCTCCAAACTCCGATTCCCCTAAAAGCCTCGCCTTCAATAGGTCGGTCTCCAGGCCCCGCTGGGTGTAAAGCTCCTTCCAGGCCACTCCTACTGCATTAGCCCTTGCCCCTTCTGTCCACTCCCTATCCCAGGACGGGCTAGGTCCCCTAGGAAGCCCCGCCTTCTCACCGTTCACAGTCAGCCGAGCCTCCGCGACGCCACCCCCCTGGTCCGAGAGCCCAGGCTCAGCCCTGCACACATAGTCGCCTGCGTCCTCCGGCCCCACCGACGGAAGGCGCAGTGTGACTCCAGAGCCCAGCACCTGCGACAGGGAAGGGGCGTCAGAAGCCGGATTTGGAGGGAAGCCTGGTCCCCCGCCAGCCACCGCCTCAGATTTAGGGCTGCACCTGCGCGCCACCGCGGCGGGTCCAGGTTACCCGTGGAAGCGGGTTCCCGCGCCAGGCACAGCTGAAGGAGGCGTCTTCCCCCACGTCCACTGACACGGGCTCTGGCTTTGCCTGCAGAATCGGCCCAACTGGACGAAGGAGATGAGGGGTCACAAGGCCGGGGAGGAATAGCCCCTGACCCGGGATCAGCCCCATAGAAACACCACACCCTCTAGGGCGCAAGAATATGCCCCAAGTCCACTCTCTCCTCCTCCTAATACCCCACGCCCACTCTCCCAGCCCCGCCCCTCCAAGCCCCTCAGCCACCCTGAAAACCTCGCCCACTTTTGACCACACCCACAGCCCCGCCCCAGCTCACACAGCACATCCAGCGCAGTGCTGCGGTTGGCGCTACCCACGGCGTTGCTGACCTCGCAGGACACGGGCTCAGTCAGGAACGAGGCGTCTGCCACGACCTCCAACCTTGACCCGCGGGCCCCGAGCACCGGGAAGCCCCCTTTTGCCCACCTGAGGAAATGGTGGCGCTGTTAGCGTTGCCCCTGCTCTCCGTCACACTTACTCAGGTCCCAGCCCTTCCCAAGCTCACTCTTGGGGCTAGGGAGAGGTGGTCTTCGTCCTCACCTGTAGCCTGTGACAGGAGGCTGGGCTGTGGCCTGGCACAGGAAAGTGACCTTCTCTCCCTCCTGCACAGTATGTGGTGAAGCAGACAAAGTCACCTCTGGGGGGTCTGTGAGGGTGGGACAATGGTCAGGTGGGCAAGGACCAGGAACACCTCTGTCACTGGCCTAGGGGTCCAGTTCCTGGTTCCTCCACCCCAGGAGTCTGGGCCCCTAATCCCCTTCTCCCTTTGAGTCAGGAGTCTGGGCTTTCAGTTCCCAATTCCCCCAGTTACTTCTATCCTCTCCTATTCTCCCAGATGTGAGAGTCAAGACCCAGCTTCCTCTTTCCCCAGGGACCCCAGCCATCTGTCCTCTCCTGCTCCGAGTCTCACTCTGTTGCCGAGTGGCACGATCTCAGCTCACTGCAACCTCTGCCTCCCGGATACAAGTGATTCTCCTGCCTCAGCCTCCCAGGTGGCTGGGATTACAAACATGTGCTACCACGCCCGGCAAATTTTTGTATTTTTAGTAGAGATGGGTTTCGACATGTTAGCCAGACTGGTCTTGAACTCCTGAACTCAGATGATCCACCCGCCTCGGCTTCCCAAAGTTCTGGGAGTACAGGCATGAGCTACCATACCTGGCCCTCTCCTGCTCTCTTAGATCCAGGAATCCAGGTCCCAGTTTCCTCATTCCCCAGGGGCCACAGTCCCCTCCTTCCTCATACCCAGGAGTCAGGGCCCCACACCCCTCTTTCCCAGGGCCAGCTGCACTCACACTGCAGGCTCAGTGTGATAGCTGTGTCCCTTCCCGCAGGCAGGGCCCTGTCTCTTATACACATCTAGATGTGTATAAGAGACAGGTCACACTGCAGGCTCAGTGTGATAGCTGTGTCCCTTCCCGCAGGCAGGGCCTGGCTCCGGGCCCTGCAGACCAAAGTGGCTCCATCGTCATGGCTGGAAGGGGTCAGGGTTAAGGTGCTCTCCACTGATCCAGGGGTCCCTTCCTTCAGCAGGGTCTGGAGGGATGGATAAGAATAATAATGCCATCTACCCCTTACATCAGGGGTGTCCAATCTTTTGGCTTCCCTGGGCCATATTGGAAGAAGAATTGTCTTAGGCCACACATACTAACACTAATGATAGCTGATGAGCTAAAACAGTTACAAAAAAGGCTCATAATGTTTTAAGAATGTATATGAATTTGTGGTGGGCCACATTCAAAGCCGTTCTGGGCTGCATGCAGCCCACAGGCAACAGGTTGGATAAGCTTGCCTTACTTATATAGGGTTCACTATGTGTTGGGCACTCTTTTGGGCATTTATAGGTATTTATTTATTTAATCCTCACAATACCCTATGACATGCATGCTATTATTATTCCAATTGTATAGATAAGGCAACTGAGGCACAGAGAGGTTAACTAACTTAAGATCAATCAACTAGCAACTGGCTGAGACGTGATTTGAACCCAGGTAGTCTGGCCCTAGAATCTTTACCCGGCATCACATTTCAAGAGTCCAAACCCTTGAAACCCTGCCCTCCCATGTCGTCTTCTCCTCGGGATGAGCCTGCGGTCAGAGTGTACCCCAAGTTTTCCTGAATGGGCAAAGGCTAGCACAGGAATTTGGACCTCACCTGATGGAAGGTGGTTCCATCCAACCGGACCCCATCTCAGAACCACAGCAATTCAGGGGTAGGGCGGGCATCCCCACGGCTCCGACATGTCAGGTTCACAGGAACTCCAGCAATGAGAGACACAGAGGGGCCGCCCAGCACCTGGGGAGCTTCTGGGGGGACTGCAAGGTAGATTTGGGGTCAGAGATGGATCCGGATCCTCTCAGCTCCAGTTGACCACTCCCCTGGGCTCCCTGGACTCCGCTACTCACAGCTAGTACTGGTTGCCCCCTTGGGCTCCCAGGGGACAAGTGGGCGAGGTCCTTACCCAGCACGTGCAGTTGGGCTGGTCTCGAGCGGAGGCCTGCTTGTGTAGCCTGACATTCATATGATGCTTCATCCTCTAGCTCCACGGGCCTAATGTGGAGGTCATGCTGGCCATTGGCTGCATTCCCTGATATCCAGTACCGGGACCACCCTGGAGTCAGGGAGGAGGCAGCACGCCATGGTTCTGACCGGTCCACACATTTGGTGGTAAGACACTATTAAAGAGTGGGTACTGTGCCCATAGAGACTCTAACTCCCTCCCAACCCAGAGTCACTGCAAACTTGGGGGTAATAAATTCAGAAAGGAAAGCAAGAAAATGATTGCCATGAAAGTTAGGTTAGATACTACTTCTGGAGTGAGGGGGAGGGGGGCTATGATAGGGGAAAGGAATACGGGGGCTCTGGGGAGCTAGCAGTGGACTTGGATATTGGCTGTGTGAGTGTCTATATTATTTGGTAAACCTTCCGTTTATGTTTACTGTACTTTTTTGCATTTATGTTCTCTTTCTTTCTTTTCCTTTTTTTTTTTTTTTTTTTTTTTTTGAGACACGGTCTCACCATTACCTGGAGTGCCGTGGCTTGATCATGGCTCACTGCAGCCTTGAACTCCTGGGCTCAAGGCTATCCTTGAGCAATCCTACCACCTCAGCCTACTGAGTAACTGGGACTACAGATGCACATCACCACGCCTGGCTAATTTGTTTAAAATATATATATTTTTTCTAGAGATAAGGTCTTGTTATGTTGCCCAGGCTGGTCTCAAACTCCTAGTTTCAAGCTATCCTCTGGCCTCAGCCTCCCAAAGCGTTGGGATTACAGGCGTGAGCCACCGCACCTGGCCTGTTTACTATTTCACAATAACATAATAATTCCAAAACTCTATGGGTCACCCCCAAAGAAGCAGCTCAAAAATCAGGACTCCTAAATGTTTACCCAAGTCCATCAATTTCCCAAACTTAAAATGTCAAAATAGAAACTCCAGGTACAGCCGAGCCCAGCAACTCTACCCCTAGCCAGCCCGTCCCAGCGTGGAGAGAACCGTCTTACCTGGCAGGTCCCTTTGGCCCCCTAGGGCCAGCCCACTCTTAGTCCACTGAACTAGCCCCCAGTAGGCGCCCAGAGCACACCGCAGCCGGGCTTCCTCCCCCAGCAGCACCACCAGGTCCTCTGGCTGTTGCAGGAAATGGGGCGACGGGCCTAGGAAAGTTGGGGGCAGCAGGGCTGAGCTTAGCACCTTCAAGAGTCCCCTCATTCAGGACCCAGGGGTCCCAGCCCCCAACTCCCTTCTCTCTAGTGAAGGGGCAGCCTGCAAGCAATCCCCCCACACCCACCCCATATTCATCCGCTCCTCTCGTGCGGTACCTGCGCTCCCTCTGAAGCAGAAGAGCAGGACGAGGAGGGCGGGGACCCGCATCTTGAGCGTGTGTTCCCCAAGGTTCACGAGATCTGCCGTCGCACGGGCCTCCCGGTCAACTTCTTCCTCGGAAGCCCTCCTCCTGTCACTCTGGCCCGGAGCCCCCTTCGCGCTCGACTCTTCGCCCCAGCCTAGAGAACCCCTGTCTCTGGCCTGGAGTCCTCCAAGTGAGCTCATCCGCAGCCTCTGACGCTCTGAAACGCCTGCCAGTTCCGCGCCCTGGGTCTCTGGGAGACCCCTAGAGGGCCCGATCCAGCTCGCCCCGCCCGGGTCCGCCTCCCAGGAGCTCCGCCCTCTTCCCATTGAGAAACTCCCGCGGCTGGACGCAGATGAATGGGGGATGCAGGGCGGGGTCCCCCGGCGGGTGGGCGCCCCCAGCTCAATTGGGGTCTGGGAGCCGGAACACCTGGGTTCGAGGAGGGAGTCCCGGCTGGGTTGGACACCTGCGCCCTGCCGAGGTTGAGGGGCAGGCATGGGGGTGAAGAGGAGGGAAGGGAAAGAGTGGAAGAAACTTGCTCAGCCCAGGTCCTGGAGGGACTGCGCTGTGGAAACCGAGCTATAAATGGGGGCCCCTGGGGCCTCACCAGTTTCCGCGCCCTGGGGGAGGCGGGGTCCGGGGCTCCCCTGCTTGCGGGTCGGGAATAGGGCACGCCGATACCTGGGGGACATTTGGGACCCCTGCCTTGACTCCCCCAGCCTCAGAACCCCTCCTCAAAGTGGGGAACAGAGGGCTGTTCCCTTGTTACTGCTGCAAACGTCCTAAGACCGAGGAATCCAGGACCCCGGCCCCTCCTTTCCCAGGACCCCGCAGTCCCGGCCCAGCCCCTCTCCCCACTCGGCCGGCCGGGCCCCTCGGCCTGGTTGCCGGGCGACGGCTGGGAGGGGGCGGTGCCGGGCCGGGGCAGGCAGGGAGGCTGGGAACCGCGCAGCTTGTCCTGACGGCTCCATGCAGCCCAGCTGGGGCGTTCCCACGCTGCGCAGCTGGCCGAGCAGGTGGGAGGGACCTCGAGCAGCCTGAAGGAGGGCTGGGGGGCTGGGACCCTGATCTGACATTCCTGGACCTGTAAGAACTGGGGGGTCCACATTCAGATTCTACGCTGTTCTTAGGCTCAGACTCTGTGTCCCTAAATGGCGGGGTGGGGTTGGGAGTAGGGGTTGGACTTACAGGATTGTAAGGGACTGGTGGTTCAGGCCTTTGCTGGCTGAGACGCTGATGGCCTGATCTCCTGGTTCCTTGAGAGGCTGGAGACTCAACTCCTAGGTCTGCTGCCTGCAGCATGGTGCACTTGGAAGAGGGTGACAGAGGTCAGAATATCTAGTCTTAAGTCTTACAGTCGGTGGATTTAACTGCCAATCTCTCCCCACCCCCACATGGGCCCAGGAGGATTTGGAAATCAGACGGTGAACATCTGTCCTAAGTCCTGTGTGTGTGTGTGTGTGTGTGTGTGTGTATGCGGCCGGTGCGGGGGGTGGGAGGGATGCAGGGACGGGTAGGGTGGCCAGGAGGATCAGAGGCCCAAATTCCTGAGTCCTTGGAGAGAAGGGACTGAGACCCCAGGGTCTGAGAGGGGAGGGATCTGGGGGCCTACATTCCTGGCTTCTACGTGGCATATCTAGTGCCTGGATTTTGAAATACGATGGCATGAGGCCGGAACTCCTGAGTCTTGGGGAGGAACTCAAGTAGTGGGACTGTTTTTCCAGGCACTTGATGCCGCTTCCCCTTCCTGGCCCTCTGGGGCGACGTACATGGAAAGATGGAGAACCCAAGGTCCCAAGAGCACTCGGAGAAAGAAAACAGACAAGGTGGAGGGTGGAAGGTTTGTGCTAATTAAAGGCCCCAGCAAGGGACAGCTCCATGCTCTGGCCCCTAGGGACACCATCTGGCAAGGGCCCCCAGGACAGAGCCACCCCCCACCAAGCTCGGCATCCAGCCCATTTCCCAGGGGGTGTAGGGGGCAGTTGGGAGAGGGGAGGTGGGAGGAGGGCAAGGAGTCAAGCATGTGAGGGAAGAGGGAAGGCCAGCATGGAGGATGAAGCTGAGGGCTGGGGCCAGATGCCTCATCTCCTTCTGGGGAACGAGATGCAGGTGGGGGGGAGGTCTTGGGGAGGTGGGGAGAAAACTAGCATTTCCAATTCCCGCAGGAGATAAGCAGGCAGAAGCAGCTTATCCCAGGCTAGTGTATGTGCATGCGGGGAGGGCAGGCCCACCAGCATATGGTTATAAAATCCAGGGATGTGATGAGGGGAGCCACTCAGAGATGGAGAGACACATAAGAGAAAGAGGCGTGGTCAGAGTGCGGCTAAGAACAAACATTTATGGAGCTCCTGGTGTGTGTGAGACAGAGTGTGGGGTGAGGGGAGAGACAGAGGTGAGAACAGAGACAGAGAAACAGAAGAACAGAGACATGTAGAGACAGAGAGACAGTGAAATAAAGATTGACTGAGATTTAACCACTTAATACAGAGAGAGAGATGGAGAAACAGATGGAGAAACATAGAAAGATAAATCAACTGGGCACGATGGCTCACACCTGTAATCCCAACACTTTGGGAGGCTAAGGTGGGCGGATCACCTGAGGTCAGGAGTTCAAGACCAGCCTGATCAACATGGAGAAACCACGTCTTTACTAAAAATACAAAAAATTAGCCAGGCGTGGTGGCGCATGCCCGTAATCCCAGCTACTAGGGAGACTGAGGCAGCAGAATCGCTTGAACCCGGGAGGCAGAGGTTGCAGT